CCTGCGCCCCCGCCCGCTCGTGCCCACAACCCTGCGCCCCGCCCACTCGCCGGCCGCCCAGCACTGCGAACCAGCCATGCCCGCCTGGAGGGCACTCCCCCGTGCCCTCCCTGGCCACCCTGCACTCAGTCTTCATCTCTCCCTAAAGAGAGGCCTGTCCTGACACCCCCGGTTGAAAGCCAGCTTCCCCAAGTTGCGTTAAGTCCTTCGTAAGCACCATGCACGTTGTCCTCCATAGCACCCACCACAGTTTTAACTTGGTTGTCTCAAGTTGCATGAGCGCAGGGACCCTGTTTATTTCGCAATCACAAAACTCCAGGCGCCTAGGGCAGTGCCACGCACGTGGTAGCTATTCAGTATGTATGTTGAATGAATTTTTTGATTTCGACCAAAGCTCAGAATTCTTTCTCAGTTACGTTTCCAAATTGACTGCTCCTCTTACGCCTTTTCTAGTCTGCTGAAAGGTGTCTTGGGGGCGCATTAATTATTCAACTCACATTTATTTATTCCCCGGAAACGTTGACAGGGTTTCATAGACATCACCCTTGTCCTCTAGGAGCTTACAGTCTAGAAAGGTTCTTCCGGCCGTATTTTGATGATAGTTAAAACTTATTCTCTCCCTGTCTGTGGCTTCTGTTAAATAAAAGCCAAAACTGCAGTTTATGAAAAAGTGCAGTGATGCAGATAATTTTCAATTTTCACTTAGCTTTCAAATGCATTATGTAAATTTTTTGGCATGAGATTTAAACGTCAATTATGTTTCAGCTACTACTAAACTTATCTGACTATAAATTGGTTAACCTTTAAGAGGTAGTCTAAAATGTGCTGGGTGTTGTGAGAAAGCCATCAAGGGTTAGGATCTGTTCCTGGTATCCATGTGGAGTGTTAATTCACACACGGAGCAGGAGTTGGCTCCTTTTCATGTATTCTTTCTTGATCAGCCATCTGTACACGTTCACTGAGCATGGTTATGTTCTGGGCCTTGTGAACCAGCTCTTGTAGTGGAGCTGCTTTGCCTTTAGTGCCTAGGCTGTCTTGTAGCTTTCTGAAACAATTGTTTAAACTCCATATGAAAGGATTTACCCACTTTGAGTGTTTTCTTGTGACCCATCTACTGATTGGATAGCATTTGTAATTCTTCATCGTCTTACTTGCTGTCTCCTCTGCTCTCTTTATTGCTAATTACTTCTGCTGGAGGCAGGCTGTTTGAAGAGATCATCAGTTTTCTTAAATTCCTTTATTATGGCTCATCTGGGAATATCCTGGAAAAATGAACCTATGATTTCTCATTACACCTGAAAGAGGATGGAGTGGTAGTGGTCTGGGTCACTAGTACACGGCTGAGCATATGACACTGCTGATGGGTCAGAGAAAACCCAAAAAAGGAAGCATAGAAAGAAAGCAGTTTCTTAATATGAAGAACACTGTAGACCCTTTATCTGCTGTTAAATTGAGCATGACTTTCAAGCCATGCCTCCTAATTAATTTAACTCAGTCTTCTGGCATCAATAAGTAATTGAATTATAAAAGAATTCAGTGTAACAGCTGAGGACATTTTATTGCTGGAAGGTTCATTGGAGACTAGAACAGTTCAGGGATTGAAGTAAGGATGTTTGATTCTCACAACTGGGAGATAAGGGTAAGGTAAGGACTTTAACAGACCACAGTAAACATACAGGGGGCTGCTGGCCACCACTCTCGTGGTCACTGTCAGCTAGGGTTGGAGGATATAAGCTTAACACCATAACATTTTGAACACCATCAGTTCCTTCCTGGCGTATCCCCACCCCCCAGGTATGTTTCACCTCGTTACCGCTGGAATCAGGTTCACACCGGGTAGGATTGCACTTCTGGTATGAGAAGGCTCAGGCTGCCAAATCAAAGGTCATCTGGTAAGGCTGTTAGATTGAAGAGTCTGAATAGTTGGATTCAGTTTAGCTGGACTAATTTATGCTGAGAATTTCAGGGGACATACGGACATTGTGGTCTCTTTGCGACGGTTTGTAGTAAGCTCATAGTAAGAGGCGTCAGGTGTAACTATCAAGTACGGCTGCAAATTATGTAAGTGCCCACCCCTGTCTATCCGAGGGCTGTGGGTAGACAGGTCAGGGGTATTTGGTTTCTCCCTGTGCAGTGCAGCCAGGCGAGGTGCCAGCTATAATAATGGGGTCACCTGCCACGTACCTGATACTTTAAATGCGTCTTACTTGGTGAGGGGTATTTTTTTTTTCTTTCCAGTATTTTATTTGTTATATAAATAAAATCCAGCCTAGGCATAGAGGTTCATGCTAGGAACACATTACTCAATAATAATTCTTGGGCATAAAGGGTAATGATAAACAGGAATACAGTAGTAAGAGCAGCTGACACTAAGTGCTTTCTCCATGCCAAGCATCGTTCTGAATGTTTTATGTATGTTTAATTCGATGAGGGGTATTCTTAACTTTATTTTACAGAGAAAGTAACTGAGGCTCAGGCTGGTTAAGGAACCACCCGGCCCCAGAGTGTACGGACACTCGCGCTGCATCGGGGGCCTTGGTAGAGATGAGGCTGCTGTCTCGGGACAGTTCTTAGAGCAGGGATAACACTAGTCCGGGAAGAGAGAGCAGGGGCACCCCGAGCAGAGCTCCGAAGGGCAGTGTGCACTTGTGAGACAGGTCGGGTTGGTATTGTTACAAATCTTCGTTGTCCTGATGAGGTAATTGAGGGTCACAGAGGTGATATTGCCATAGTCCGTGCTCATTATACGTGGAATTGTGTTTCTGAAAATCATCTTACAGATCAAAAAGTTGTAAAATGGGAGCTGTCACAAGACTCAATTCATAAAATATGCTTGCCCAGTAGCTTCAGAGTGAATTTTTGTATTCTGCTAACACTGATGTTCAGATTGGATTGGGCCTTCTTGCAAAATGCATCATGACTGTTACCCACGGACCTCTCTAAATCTGCTCAGCCCTGTTTCCTGCCGCTTGTTGGCACTTGAGGTCACCACTAAAACCAATTCAGCCTTGAACTTCACTTCTAAAGGATGGGATTGCCACTTTTAGCTTCACTTATTTTAGTTTTTTCCCCTGTAACCACACTTTAAACATATGTAAAACTCCAGCTGTAACATGAAAACAGGCACTGGTGGATGTGTACTTGTGGGGAGCTGCCTGGGAGCAAGACGAAAGAGAATCCTGTGCAGTGAAGTAAGAGAGGGTGCTGGGGGCTTTTGAGTGCTTTTCTGAGCAAAGTCTTACCCTGAGGGGACATAGAGAGACTGCAAAAAAATAAAATAAAAGCAAGTATAGGGCAAGTCAGTTGTGTATGGTATTTAATGATGTCTTAATGGGCTCAAAATAAATCTTGAAGAACTCATTCTCCTATGTTTTCTTTACATTTTCCACCGTTTTCTGTTGTTGGATGGCATTTATTAAGTTTCTGCTGTGTGTAATTATGGAGTAGGGTGAATTCTTAAAAAATAACATTAGTGTGGACTTTGGAGTTCACTTCAGTTTCTCCCGTTTGAATTTCTGTTGTTTGGAGCGTGGTTAGGAGCATAATGTCTTTCATGTGCTTGTGAGGAAGAATAAAGTTTGATACCCCTATTTCGGTTATGAAATTGCTGTACTGTATTAAGGCAGCAT